CCCGCCCCCCGTGTTGTGATGGCAGCGTTCCGGGTGCTACTCTGCTCAAACGTCTCCTGTCGAGTGATAAATCGTCTGCCGAGGTCGTCAATTTCTGGTGATCTGGAAGGGGCTGGGAGGGCTACGGTCCTGAAGAACGGTCCTGGGTCCCATCCAGTTTTATCGACTTAATCGAGGACTACTACAGGTGTCATCCGGAGGTCCCAGGGCCATCAGGTGTCGTCCCTAGATGGGAAGGAGGGTGAATAGACGGCTCTGCTAAGATTGTTCCCTAATTTAGGTGTCATGTTATGTGTTTAGATAGGTTCCTGTTTTATTTTGATAGTCTTGTCTATCCTCATGTGTCTAAAGTACGTTTCCTGCCTTGTCTGTTTTCCCGCTGTTGTGATTGTCTAATTGTCAGTTCACCTGGGGGGTATACTACGAAGCAGGATTTTCGCTTAGCCGGCTAACTTCAGGGAAAGCTCGGGCTTTCCGGTCCTACGAAGCTGGTTCTCTTTTTAGCAGGCTAGATCTCCATGGTAACTTATGCTGTGCGGCTAACCTTGTCGGGAGCAGGTTAGGTTGCAGGCTAAGAGATCAACTCAGTGAAAGCACTGCCTGCTGACCAATCAGAGCTCAGTGTGCGGAGTTTAAAGCGATCAAGTCATATTACAGGAGAAAGGAAATACAGAAAAACTGCCGTTGCAGGAAAGACGGCCGGCAAAAATCACCGACTGTGTGAACGTGAACATTAATAGAATATCACCTCCCATCTTCAGAGCAATCTGACTATTATAACATTAGCGTTAAGAAAGCTTACTTAAATATCTGCCACAACATAAGTAACCGGATCAGAGTAACATTAAGTACAGTCCGCGGCATATCACATCATAATGTATCATATATTTCCTTATCTGAGTCAGCTGAGCCGTATCTGGCCGTGCAACACTCACAGTGTCACATACTGTATGCAGAAGCATTGTTTTAAGCAACACATTACGTAGACGAAACACTCGAGACAAATGTAATTAAAGTCAGATCCACTCGTGTCTTAGACGGGGTAGTGATCATAAACCTGTTAATGTACGCATTCAAAAACTTTTTCTTTTACAAGCTGTATTCACCTTGCAGGTGCAGCTATGTGGCTTTTGTCCTGGATAAAGTGTTTAAGTCATGGATGTTTAATATTTATAGTTGACTTTTCATTCAGGAAGTATGACGCGCTGCACTGTCAGTACGATTGTCCATGTTTGTGATTGGTCGAATGCTCCAAATACCACCCCTTTCATGTGAACGCGCACCTAACTAGATAGGACACGGCTGGCTTGAGCGATCCACTTGATAACCAGCGTCGTAGTACAGTTTAGCGAAAGCGCGTATGTTTTGGATTGGGCCAACCGGCTAACTCAAACATATCCAGGTTAGGTTGAACCAGCTTCGTAGTACAGGCCTCCGTACAGCTTCCTCCTGGAAGCTGTAGGCCTACTGGTCTGCCAACATTTATTTTTTTGTCTTCCTAAATGACATGAACAGAACTTCTGAAATACATTTTGATAGCTAACCATTTGGCATCGCGTTTGTTGTGCACATATTTAGCATTATAACCAAAAGCATACATTTCAACAATAAATACACATATGTTGAATAGTTGACGTTTAGCGGAAACACAGTCAGTTTTGGCCTTATTGATATGTCTGGAGAACTACATGCCTTATTTATGATCAAAACAGGGCAAAAACAGATACATACTGTCAGCTAAGTTAGTTATTGTTACATTTGACGGCATCATCCGCTACTTCCGAACAAGACAAATATTGAGAAAGCAATTATTTGCATCATTTATTTATACTTGTCAGCCTCCATTCTAAATGGTATATAGGTTATTAACATATTAATTGTGTTTTATGAATGAAGTTAAAGAATTCACGGAATATTTTGGTACGTTTAAAAAGAAAAGTCGTCAATATGAACCACATTTCTTTCCTACCACAACCCCTGAATAACAAAAAAAGGACTTACTTTTCTTTTTGATGCTCGGCAGCTTTGGAGACTTGACTGACATGATAAATCCAGCTGAGTTCCTCCCTCTTTGTTTTAAATGACTTTTCCTTCTCTGGTCAGCCACATCACCAACAATGTGTGGTGTTGACTGGAAACCTGTCATTAAAATGTATAACATAAACATTACTGGCATACAAAAGACAGCACAACACAGACAAAAGTACCTGCCAATCCTGTTTGGCCCAATACTGATTCCAAATGTGAATGTGAAAACTGATGTTGTCTTACTTACAATAGATAAGACATTGTTGAGTCCTGCTGTCTCAGAGGACTGCTCATTGTAGAAATAATGTAGGAGGCTGGTTTGTCCACCCTTTTATCGTCCTGAAATGCTTCACTGAAGCAAAACTCTCCTCCTTGTTTCAGTTTTCTTTTTGCTGTAATAAAGCTGGAGACAAGATGGAATTAATATGATATTGTGATATAATGGCCACCCTCAAGATCAGGAGACTGTTGGTAAGATAAAGCACACCAGTGAAAGCTCAACATACATGCATACAACATTTAGCTTAATTTTGAGATTGGCTGTTTTCCAAAGATAAGCGGTGGTTATTAATTATTGCTGGAATTTAGTTTTACTGTATAAAGCTGTATGTAATAAAGATGCCATTTCATAAATCTCACCTGAGAACACATCTGGTTAGCATCTAGTCATCATTCATGACACTCATAAATCAAACATTTTACTTCAATATAAACATACAGTATTATCAGTAAGGTATTAAAGTATGAACAGAGAAAATGGTGTTTACTGTCTGCAGTAAAATGTCCCCTGCTGTGATTATTAAATAGTAGAATATTAGATTTTCACTAATGATGCAGCACTTTATTCATTGTTTGGACATGGCTCTGATATTAGCTTTTTATGAAAACTGGATCATTTTACCACTTTGCTCCTCAAATTGTTAGTTAAAATAAAACCGTATGAGAATTTCAATGGCCAAATGTTTCTTTGGTGCAACTGCTAACATGCATAGACATCTGAAGTTGGTAAGCATTGATTTCATCTTTAATACATTGTATAACATATTATGATCTAACTCTAGCAGTCAGATGGATGTATCAATGTTAGAGCAAGATATATATATTTTTTTATTTCTGAAATTCCAGATTAAGTATAACGCGAAAATGTACTTACTGTAATTATTCTTCACATAGAACTGCATTTTTGGGTTTTAAGTGATGTGCTTAATATAAATATATACAGTGGTTGGTTTTACCTTTCTGCACATCAAATATATTTTTTCATGCTAAAAGTATATTTCGATGTATAATTCCTCAAAAAAGAAGACTAACGCAGATATTCCAATACCTCTGAAACATTGCCTGTGTTTTTTGGTAGAATATCTTCTTAAATCATTATGTTCTTACCTATCTCTCCTCATACAATTGCTCGGCAAATAAGTATCCTTCACATGTTGTGTATCACCACTGCTGTTGTAGTGTTTTTCTTTCAGGAGAGCTCTTATACCTGTGTTGTCAGTGACGAGACACATTCCTGTACTTTTATCCAATCTTAAACAACAGGATGAACATCAGTCACACGCACACGTTGACAAAAGTAAACAAGTGTCATTAATCATGGTTAAAATGACTTGACATGACAGTCTTGATGATACTCAGATAACAGTAGGCAGTGTCTTTTTTTCAATCAGACACCTGTCTAAAGTGTTATCATTGGTCGGAGGTTAGGCTCTACACAATGACGCACAAAAAACCTCAGTTGTAGTGTGATCTTTCAGATATAGGTTTATCTGATTACCGATGCGCTGCTGGCATGAGGACAGTCCCTTTTATTTATAGAAACCGTATTCTCCTTGCTATAACCCTTCACTTTTATCTTTGAGACATTTTCTTAGAAACCCTTGTGGAGAAACAGTTTTCATTCTGTTAAAATCTGTTTACATTTCAAGATAATAAGGTCACAACCAGGTCGCTCCAGATGTGTTTGTGCTAATGAATTTCAACCGATCTATAAAGCATGATTAAAACGTTTTCTAAATACCTTAATTAATTACAATTTGTAAACACTTCCTCAGTAGCGCCTTTTTAGATAGTGACTGACCCTACAGTATGTGTCAACAGGTCAACTTGTTTGACAACTCCCTCCTGATTCATGTCAGTGCAGCAAAAGTCAGCATGCAGCACATTTGACAATGAAGAAGAATACAATCTTTCCAAATCAAATTATCTCTAAGCGGTATTCTCTTGTTTTAATCCAACATGGGATTTAAACAAATACAAATAAAACATGATCTGTGTCTTCTGCTGGAGAGGGGAAAGCACACCTGAGGGGATAAGTGTTGTTCAAAGGAAAAGATTACCTCTTCTCTAGTCTCTATTTCAGTCCTGCAAAGCTCTTTAGCAGTCTTACCACCATGTGTCCGAGATAGTGACAATGAAGTATGTTTGCAGGTCGATGTATGTGTGAGTGTGTGTTTGTTTGAACCTGAGAAAGTTGTGTGAGTGGACATATTGAGCACTGTGCGTCCGACCGTCCTTCCTGAGCAGCCCCGCATTGCATTCCTAATTGCTCGGATCTGTTTCTTCTGCTGGACTGAGGACATTTATCAAAAACGGAGAAAAAAAATTAAGGATTAACAGAGAAACTAAAGGAATAGTGGTCAAGATGTTGGTCACCATGCTAACAGCCATGTATTTGGTGGTCAAAGTCGTAGAGTCGGTAAGATGATTATAATGATGGATAGAAGTAGAAACACAATTGATTATTGTTCTGTGAAATATGATTTAATATTTATAGCCTTAAGCGTATCGTTTTTTTTTCAAATAATCTTTTGATTTGTATTGACAAAAATACATATTTCAATAGAAGAATGGAAGAAATGCACCATGGTTTCAGCAAAAGTGCTGTGCGCTTTTGCTGAAACCATAACATTGTAGCTTTCTCACACAGCAAGTCGTCAATATCCAATATAAATCAGGTTTATGTACAGTAGATCACAATGTGGTCAGGGAAATGTTAAAACAGATAGTGTTAAACCATGACCAGGCTTTTACTGACAGTATCCAAATATAATGAATGTGATGTTTAATCAAACCTTTAATATTGATAAAGCATTCCTCTGCTAATTATGTAACATCTAGCCTAATACTCATGTTTCTAATACAAATATTTACCGGGTTAGCATAAAAGCAAAAAAACTTCAGAAAACCAAACTCTACTGACAATTCTAATATATTAGTAATGTGGGGTGTCATGTGGGAGCATGGTAAGTTTAGTAATACAATTTGACTTTTTAATGCTTTAACTCACATCGGTTTTTTTCACTCTCAGATAGGGGTGCGGTTTGCACGGCAAGAGGACCCTTTGCCTTACATCGTGTCCCAGCCTTTGCCTTGGCAGGTTCACTCAGTGTCACACAGTCGGAGGAGCAGCAAAGCAGATGAGGTGAGTTGTAATGAGTAATAATCTGTTGTAATCTGTACCCTGGTCTAATTGGCGTCCCACGCACATTGCCATGCTGATGCACCAAGACGATTGATTCATTACAGCTAATACGACACGAGTTCACTCTGCACATGACCCGGCAAACCCCCGTTCCAAATCTTCTCTGCTGAGTTGCTTCACTTGAGTCTTCTCAGTGTTACATATTTCAAAAGATAAAATGTGGTCATTTTCGAATGAACGGAAACCAGTAACTTTTTTTTTCATACAATTTGGATTTCCTCTGCCAGCGTGGCTGGATTTATTACTCATACAAATGACCTCTTCCTAATCCTATGTTATATAATGGTGAGACAGAGCATGTGGAAAGTTCAGCAGTCAAGCTTGACTCAGCATGTGAGCTTATAAACTTGGTCACGTGTTCTGTTTGCTTATAGTTTCTCAATGGATGACTGCATTTAAAAAATATATATAAATTATTAAACAGAAATTATTTTATTGGGACTCGGCAGCGGCCAAATAATATTAGATTAAAATATGTGATTCAGACAGTAAAACAATAAGCTTTTGACCCGCAATGAATGAATCATAAGTCCTCGTACATAGATCATCACTGACCATGACTTAAGTTATTTTACTTTTCCTCAGGCTTTCATTTAGATTCCTTCATCAACAAGTCAAACTGCTCACCTCTGATAACCTTCTTATTAAAAAAAGCCTGGGTTATCCTGTCTGTGGACTTTTCTAAGTTTAGGATTACTGATTTGAAGGTTTACTTTTGACGTGTGTAAACCTTTATAAAGATGAAGGTGACAAATCAAAGACAAATAGTGTTAATAAGCTGGACTGCAGCAGGAAGACCATTTTTTGGTGGTTAAGTAAAGGCACAAGTGCTGAGGTAGGAATGTAGAAGGGCAAATTAGCCCAACAAAAAAAAAAAGAATCAATAGAGCAAGCGGCCTGTTAAAGAAACAAGTACTGAGTCAAATAAATACTTAATTGTGTTTGTGTCTTAGACTGCCCCCAGTAAATGTACCTTAATGTCACTTGTAAAGAGATCATGTTGACCTCAATGATGAGGTCATGGAGCTTGTGTGTGGGACTGGCAACACAGCCAGACTGACGCGTTAGCATGCTAAGCTTGTCCAGTCTTCAGCCTCTGGCTTCCCTGCCTCTGCTCTGCTTGAGCTATAATCCCAATCAAGGGGATTGGTGTTGGAGGTCATTATTCTAACCGTAGATTAAAAGGACACACACAAAGGTGCAGTCACACTGTAAATTGCAGACATTCTTGAAGCTCTGCACATTTTGTACAGCTGAGTTGAAGAATGTTGCAAAAGCGATTGAGTGACTGTCTGGTTTCATGTGTTGGATTTAGTACCGTCAGTGGTATGTGAACAATGTTTCATCCAAGCTCCAGATAAGATCGTAACGTTGATAATTGTCATACCTGACCAGTATCAACTCATCTTGTGGCTTTTGTGCGTCACTGAGTGTCTTCTAATTAACAGATGTTCTGTTTCATTCACAGTTTGATGGCTACAGGAGGAACAGCATAGGCGTGTATAGAAAGAGTAAGTACAACTGTTTATTTA